GAAAACCTATTGTTTTGTTCTCTCAAATATTTATTTTTGTCACTTGTATATTTTTGTCACTTATATATTGCACAAGACAATTTAATTATTGTGGTCTGGACCAGGCTTAAAAAAATAGATTTTGATCTTTCAAAAGAAGGAAGGAAGGATAGGTTGGAAGGGGGATAATAATATATAGTTTCTGTTCTTATTGACATTTGCTTATGCTTTTTATTGCTCTTTTGTGTTTATGGAAGTTCTTTTAGACATAGTTAACATGATATCAAACCTTGGGGATCACACTCAGTTGTATTTACAGACATAATTATAGGTATAAATTTGTGGAAGAAAAATGTGTCCTGTTGAATATGTGGTTATAATTGGGAAGTTGATTTGAAAATTAAGGCACAATTAAATATATTTATGAGAACATACTATTAGTACATGAAATCCCTTTTCCTAACAGTCTATTAAGAAGGAATACACATACACTCCAACATTTCTGCTCAGTAAGAGACAATATTACAATATTCCATAATGTCTATGAGCGCAGGCTCTGGAATTGGCAGATCTGGATTGAAATCCAGCGTTGGCAACTTTTTCAAGCCAGCTTCTCTGAGCCTTGATTTCCTCATCTATAAAAGGGGATGATAGTGGTTTATACCGTCCAGGTTAGCTCTGAAGGTGGAATAGGATGATATGAAGTGTATAAAGCATATAGTCCAAAGTAAAGGCTAAATAAACGTCAGCTACTATAGTTACAGTAATTATTCTTATCACTAATTATCATTAATGTCAATCACTGTCAGGTACTGAAGTAATAAACAGATGGTTGATAGATATGATATAATTAAATGTATTTCTGAAATGAGCAAAGCTTCTTGAGTTGAATACCGTAGTCCCTCTTATTTACAGAGGATATATTCCAAGACCTCCTATGGATGCCTGAAACTGTGAATAGTACTGAAAATATATATACTATGTTTTTTTTCCTGCACGTACATACCCATAATAATATTTACTTTATAAATTAGGCACAGTAATAAATTAACAATAATCATTAATAATAAAACAGAACAATTATAACAATATACTGCAATAAAAATTATATGAATGTGATCTCTCCCATTCTCTGTCTTAAAATATATTATCATACTGTACTCATGTATTATTGGACTGTGGTTGACCACAGGTAACTGAAACCTCAGAAGGCAAAACCATGGATAAGAGGTACCACAGTTAACCCCCAATCACTTGTCACATAGGACTTGGCAATAGCTTTGCAGCTAGCCTCTCCTCTTATCCAACTCTTCTCTCTTATGCTCTTTTTATTTTCTTACACATTACCTAAATTTGAGTCCCCTTCTACACATAGCTTGCATTTCATTATTGCCACCCTTTCCCTTGCAAACTCTCAAGTTCTTTCCCTCTTTGTCCTTTGATTTTCCCCCTTCCCCGGTCTTCCTCCCCCACCCTCATGCATATATACATTGTCACTTGCAGAACAGAACTTTTATGGTTGTTTTCTCATCAAGTCACCTGGTTTACTGAGTAACTACATTTCCTTTTGTTTTTGTTCCTGGTGGGAAGAGCTATTTATTTTTCCCCAGGAAGTGCTGCCACAGAGTTGAGAAAATATGTTTCCTGGCATAGTGCCACCAGAAAGACATTCCCCAGTCTGGAGAAAAATCAGATTATCCCTTTGGTGGTTGCTATTGTTCACTTTGAAGCACCACTGGGCCTCTCCACGGCTCCATCCTTGAGGGTTCTCACATCAGGATGGCATTACCCCAGTGGGTAGTTCTCCCCTTCCCATTGTACATTGCATATGGTATTCAGCCGCAGCACAGTCAGTGCCAAAAGATTGCTGTTTTTCCTTCTTCTACATCAATTAGCTCTCCATTTCCTATTTTATGTTTCCATATTGTTTATCCCCAAACAATGTAAGATCTGAGATTTCCTAATTTACACCCTATGTTTCTCTATACAGGCATTCTGCAGCATGTAAGAATGATACACGCACACAAACAATCCCATCTTTGTTTTTATACCAGTTAAACCCAGAATCCCAATTCTAAGATCTTTTGGATTCTACTTATGCTTAGTTAGTGGCAGGACATGCTGGGACTTCCAGGGCACCATTTGGGAATGGGAGAAGCTTAGGAAAAGTCAGGACCAGGGACAGAGAAACTTAGGCTGTGGGGCATTGCTTGTCTCACTGAGGAAGAGACAGCAGTTCAAATTATAGCTATAGGACATGGTAACACTAACACCGCTGCCATCTCATCTCTTTGATTCACTGTAGCAGCAGCAACTGTAATCTCCAAATATTGGAAACGCCAGATGTGAGCAGTTGTGGCATCACAGTTCCTTGGGGCCCATTTATGTAGGCCAAGCTCCAGTAAGGTCTAGGGAAATGAAGAAGGGGTTTAGCAAAGATTTGCTGAGAGTTGGATGCCTGAGGGGCAGAGGTTCATGGGAGCGCCCTCCCCCCCCAGGAGATGCCAAATGCAGATCAGGAATAAAAGCATTTTCAATGTGCTGGTGCAACATAGGGATGGAAGGGCTGTGGCTAGGTGGACCCATAGGTGCCTAAAACTTGCACCCCATTGAAGCAATGAAACTAGTCCCAGACTCCATTCCCAAAAGACTACCTACTCAAAGTAAGATAGCTTCCAGCACTCGGTCCAGCCCATTAGTTATCCATTCTTCTGTCTGGAGATAGCAGCCTTGCCAGAGTTTCATTCTGTATGTACCTTCCCCTGTCGTTATTTCCATCTTGTATCCACTTTCCTCACCCCCATTTATTTCCATTTTGTATTCACCTTCCATACCATTCCTTATTTGTGCAGGACTGGGATGCGCATTTTTCCTAAGATATCTGCAGCAGAATTTCTTGGGAATAATTTTCTGTTCTTACTTTATAGCACTTTGCTGGACAAATTTTGGCCCCAGTTCTTTGTGCTTTTTGTAAGTATGAGGCATATTGATGTCTGACAGAGACTGATCCTTACTTAGTCCATAGGACTTGTTTCTCTCAATATTTTCTTGAGATCTGGCTGGCTGAATTGTCTGCTGTGGACTTGTCCCATTTTTGCTGGTGAATCAGCCAATTTAGACGATTTGCTCAAGTTATTCAGCCAGGATCATGGCAGGATAAACAATTCTTTGGAAGCTTCCCCCCCCCCAACACACACCCCTTTAAAAACAAAGTGGGAAAAGTTCCAGCTCTCTCTGTAAAGGCTTTGCATTTTCTAATAGTGTCCAAGAAACCAAGGGGGAAAGCAGATTGTATGAAAGCGGTCAGTCCAGCTGGTGCCTATGAAATCAAGTCAGTCTCAATCTATGTGGCATTTAAAGGACCATGCAGTATCAGGAATTGGGAAGGTTGGTTGGAAAATTATGATGGTATCCTGGCCTTTACTATGATATGTGCTGCATTTATGCTTGCTCTTTCCTATCTCTTCTTTGACAATTGCTGGTCTTTTGCTTCAGCTCTCTTAGTGACTGTCTTAGTCCATTTTGTGTTGCTATAACAGAATAACTAAGACTGGGTAACTTATATATGAAAAGAAACTTATTTTCTCACAGTTCTGGACCAGGCTGAGAATTCCAAGATCAAGACACCAGCAGCTGGCAAGGGCCTTCTTGTGCCATCATGTGGTGGAAGGGTCAGGTGGCAAAAGGATGCCAGATTCACTATTGTATAGTGGCATGAATCCCACAATCACCTATCAAAGATCCTACCTCTTAATATTGTTGCAATGGTAATTAAATTTCACTGTGGTGATGGGAGGGGGGGAAGAGACTCACTCAATATGCTCTTTATTTGCACAGGCATAACAGTGAGAGAAAACCCAATATAGTATTTAGCATGGATTCCACATGGGTTCTTATTCTAGCTTAAGTTCTGTGACCTTGGGAAAACTAACTTCCCTGTGCCCCAGTTTTTTAATCTAGGAAATGGGGTCAATAATTGTGAACACCACAAAAAATGGTTATGAATATTGAGTAAGTTAGTAATTATGAAATTATTCAAGAACAGTACCTGAGGCTGCATATATATTTGCTGATTAAAGTGGAGTGATGTCACCACACACACTGTTCTGCAACTGGAATTTTTTTCTTTTAATATTAAGATGTGACAGATGTTCTCTCTATATATATATTTCATATACATATCTATATATATCACTTATATATATATATATACACTTCATTTGTATATATACCCACTTCATTTATATGTATGTGTCTATATCTTTCTCTCTCAACATATTACATATATATCTACATTACTCCTTTTAAAAAACAACAATATAATATTCTATGATGACACCTTAATTTACTTAGGCAGTTCAATTGGTGGAAATTCCTATAAGATAATTCAGTAATATCTGGGTTTCATGAATCTTTGTTCACTGTGGAATTTCTTGCTTTACTCCTTTCGGACCTGGGGTCTCAATGCCATGTCAAATGCCCATCAGTGATTCAGTAGAGAATATGTCCAGATATGCTCTGTTGATAACTTAGTCTAGTCTCTCACTTATGATATCTTTATCTGGAGAGAAACATTCTCTAAGATTATATTGCCAACAGTTCCCCCAAATAGAAAATACCATCTTCTTAGGCTTAGTCATACAAAGTTACTTATAGGATTTACACAGACTATGACCCTTGTTTTGCTCAGGCAAACTGTTACTTCTTAATTAGCCATGTTCCTTATGATAACTTCAACACTGTTACTTTTCAAATTTAATGTAAAGCCCAGTCTTTTTATTCAATTCCCATTTGGATAATACATCACCTTTTTCTCTCCTACAGCCCCACCTCCCAACTTGCACTTCTTTGATGCGTTGCACAGCTTCTCTTCTTGTGGGTAGATACCAACTTCATATACAAAAGTAAATCTTCACCTCAGAAAAAGTGATAACTTATACATCCCAGGTAGGGTGGGGAAAAAGCAGTGACCATAAACTATTACATGTTGGGATTCCAGGAGAGATGACTCAGAGGCGGGATGGCATACAATAGATTTATTAAGGAGTACCCTTGGGATCAGCATTTGTGAATGAGATGGGGAGGAATGGAGAGAGGGAGGAGGGGAGCTGTGATGCAGATGCAATAACAGCCTCGGGCAACGCACAGGCAGCTCTGGGTCTAGACTGGCACTTCAAAGCTGTCCCAAACTGGGCTGAGACAGCCAGGCTTTTATCTTCCCCCACTGGCCAGTCACTGGATGTGGGCAGTTTCTGGAGATAAAAGTGGTTCTCAGCCCCAGAAACAATTCTGAAGGGAACGGTAGCTGAAAGCTCCCTGCCACCAGCACTCCCAACAGCTGGGACAAGCCCTTAGTCACAGGAATAGCTGGGTGGTGCCTCACAGTGTCCATGTCAGACAGAACAGGACAGAACATTGGTAATTATAGTCCAACCCCTTCCTATTTTATAAACTCAGAGAGAAAAAGACAATTCTGTCTGCCTTGGGCCTCTATCCTCTCCCTGCCATCCTACCTGTGTCAGTGACAGTGGTTTTAAAGGTCTTAGTGTGTTTTTCTTCCTTTTCATTATCCTTTCTGGTTTTAATACAGCCCTTGCTTGCTTCTGCTTTTGCTGTCTTTGGCATAATCTTTTAAGGAGACTTCCTCATTTTCTTTTTGCTGCTATGACAATCAGTGTATCCTCTGCATTATAATGACTCTAAATATGGTCTCAGCATCCCTTTTCCCCGAGTTCTGAGGGGATAGTATGCTTCCAAACACGAGTTTGTTTAATAAAAATCTGGCTACTCTGTGTGGCATGCTGCCGCTGAGCATACAATTCCTTTTTCTTTTCTTTGAAGAAGCTACTGTTACAGGGAGCTCTCCCCCTGCCTTCTTTTCTCATCCCACAGATCGTTTCCATACATCCCACTCGATATTGCCTGGCAGCACCGGGGACAAGAATAGCATGGAGAATTGAAACCCACAGAAGAGCTGCAGCCTCCTCCCCTTGTGTACTTGGGAGCTGAGAGCTGCTAACAAGTGGCAAAATTGATTCATTTGAATTTCATCTCCCTTCATTTTCTCTGCCTTCCCTCTGGTGCCAGTGATAATGAGCGGTGAAAATGACCCAGGACTGAGGAGGCAGATGGGATGGGAAGAGATCAGGGGTTGAGATAATGCAGAGTCTGAATAATCAAGAATTAGCTTTGGCTCCCCCACCTCCTGCAGCTTTATCTCAGCCCACAGCAGTGCTGGGCAGAGCCTCCAGTCCAGGGAAGCTTCTCAAGCAGCCTCGGGAGAGACTTGCCAGATTGTTCCTTGCTTTGGCACTGCAAACAGACTTCATTGAAGCTTCCATCTCGGTCATCTCAGAAAGAGACCCAGGTACTCCTGGTGCACCTGAGAGGACATAACATGGATGTTTCGTGATGAGATTAATTAACAGATTAGTAAGAAAGGGAAGAAACTTGAAAAATATGTCCTCAGCCCTTTCTAGATACCTGTGTATATGTTCTTTTCTGGTCAACAGGGAAGAATGCTCCCTTGCAGAGAGGCATGGGCACATATTTTAAATACAGGACTAGGGAAAGAATAATACTTGCTACTGCTTTGTCCTGAGAGAGAAAGTTCGGCCTGGTCAGGGAGTATTTGCCAGCACCAGTAAAGAATAATGACTGTCCCCATCCCACCCCCAGAATCACTGCCTAGAGTGTACTTTTCAACCACTCCCTCCTACTTCTAGCTGTAGAATGGCAAGCACAGCCCCTGCCATAAATGATTGTGGGTCAGTTGTGAAGAGATCTGCTTGGATCCCTAAACAGACAATAATATACTCTCTGGAAAGTAGAAGAATCAGCTCTTTATGAGGCCAGGCCTCAGTTTCCCCATCATGGGATGAGTTCCACCTGTTTTTGCAGGCAGACAGACCTCAGTGTCTGCAGCCCTACCATGTTTGTGTTCACTCCAGGGAGATCCAACAGCTGAACACAAGGAGCCCTTTTAGACTCTCAGATGTTCCACCTCCCTAAGGGTTGTTGATGATGTCGCTGCTTCTAAAGTGGAGACAAAGTAGGGGAAAAGAGAGAAATGCTGGTACATGTAAAGTGAAAAATTTACTTGTCACGGACTCAGTCTCTCTCTGACTCTCACTCTCCATAAGTATTTTGCCTTCATCTTTTGACTAGATGTTTCTGAAAGTTGCTGGCCAGGCTAGGGTCACAGACACCATGACAGTGCAGCTGGGACACCAAGACCAGTCTGGACATGTTAAACAATGCTGTCCCCCCCAGAGCCTGACCTTCCTCTGACAGTGGCCATCCCTGGGGGGGCCATCTGAGAGAGCAGAGGCACCATCCTCTTGATTTTGCCAGATGTCAGCTTTCATGAAATGGACACTGCCTTGTCCATTTCCCCAGTGTGGGAGGCTCTCTGCTTTTGTTTGAAACATGATTACACAGGAGCAGCTCACAATTAGTGTCTCTCTCTCTTTCCCCCTCCTCCTCCGTTTCCATATGGACTGCATACAAATAAAAGGTGGCAAAGTCTGCATTGTTAAGGGTAGGATGGTCCGCCCCCAGGACTCCTGTCCCCAGCTCATCAGGCTTTTAGGTTCTTGAGAAGCTCCCATCATGCTTTCAGTCATGCAGCCCTTTATTGAGCAAACGTGTCCTGAGTACATACTGTGTCGTTGGCCCCAGTGCAGCTCTGGGGATACCCACAGCTGTGACAGTCAGATGGTTCACAGGCCCACCCACGCATGGCTCTTTTGCTCTGCTCTGTCCAATCCTCCCATCTGTGATTTTGGGAATTGCTGAATTGGAAACAGAAAAGCAAAGAAGTGCTCAAAGGTGGGCTGACTTTCTACTTAGACTGAGCGTTGTTATCAGGGACTCGGGGAGACCCCAACGGGCTCACCACCTTCCTCTTCTCACATGCTGCAACTCTGCACAAAGGAAAATCCACAGGTAGGGTAAAAATAATGCGGTCGCACTTGACCAGACACAGGTTTGTTGAGCTGAATGTGTCTAAAATTTGGTTTAATATGGTAGCAATTTGGTCATGCTTCATGAAACCAGGCAATGAAATTTGTGACTGCACGTTAGTATGATGATGTTTTACTTTTCAAAAATGATGCAAGCATTTAGAGGAGACTAGATGGGTACTTCCATTGTCTTGTTCTGGGTATGACTGCCTCTCGTTTGACTTTCCTGAACTGATTCTTACCATTTTCACTTTTCTTACCTGCTGGTTTGTTCAACAAGAACCACAAATACTAGGATGGAGAATATTTATTTAAATTGGCATGTTATACAAGGAGATAGAGGAAGTCTTACTGCATCATGCAGACAATTAATGGGTTTGGAAAGTTTTATTTGGTTGTTGTTGACAAAAGCTAAGTCCCTGGGTAGCCGTTAATTTTTCCGGATGGTTCCCAGAGGAAAATCAAACCAACTCAAGGCAACATTATTTTCCTGTGGAGCTTCAGTGAGCTGCTTAGCATGAAGAAGACGGGCCATAATCTCTGTTCTGATTTGCTTTTTTGTTCTTTGGGTTTTCTTTACTTGTAAAAGGAAAATTTCTTTTGGTTGGAAAAAACCTATGTCTAACTGAGAAGGTAGAGGGCTTAGGTGGAGAAGGGAGAGGGAAGAATATTTCTAAACTGTGTCCAAGCCTTTGGTTTAAAGAAGGGCTGCTCCATTTATCCATTGGCATAGCTAGTTAAAAGCAGGAGGCAGCCCACCCAATGTTCCTACTGTTAAAATTACATTGCCATTGATAGTATTCCACCAACTTCTTTGTATGACTTCATAATTCTACAGATAGTGGTTGGTTGGTTTTTCCATTCTGTTTTTTTCCTTTAAAGAGAGCTTAAGTTCTTTGCTGTTTTTTTTTTTTTGAAAAGAAAACATATTACAGGTTAAAGTAAATGAAGAAAATGTTGCCCTTACATGATTCCCCATGTGATCACTGAGAAGATGAAATTTGAAAATGTACATTAGGTTGCTTCACAGAATGAAGACTCTAAATCTGAAATCAAGGGGAAATCCCATGAAGGTTAGAGATGATTGATGCACCGCTTCACTTCTGCTGACGTACCAGAGGGGTAGCAATTCCACCTGACTTGATGGATAGTACTTCTGGAAAGGGAAAACTGTGAAATTCAGAGGGGCTACTTTGGTTATGAGATGATTCTTGGCTTTCCCTTTTATACATTTGCTGTGTAATCTGACTCAACCCCTTACCTACCTCACTGACTCTGGAACCAGATTTTTGAGTTCCTGGTTAGAAGGAAAATTGGAAGGAAGGATAAACCAAGTGAAAACGATTTCTCTATTCACACCTCTGATTGAAATCAGCACCCAGACCTCAGTCTTAGGTCATCAGAGTGGATGATTCAGTGAGCATTTGTGTGAGATATGCAGGAGGCTTGTTGTGGAGTGGTGGGGAGGGTGGTAAATGGCCAAAAGGAAGTTGGGGGGGGAGCTCTCCCTTGGCATGCTGCTTCTCGGATCTGAATAATGGAGAGTGGCCCTTTGTAGACAAAGCATTGAGTGAGAACCTCATACTATCCGCATGCTGGCAATAACCCCTGAATTAATAAGATGTTATTTATTTCAGTTCTGTTTCATCAGAAGTGCCAAGGCATGGCATTTAAATTTTTCACTGAATCTCTAGAACCTTTGCTTCCTTTGTAGTCATCTCTTTGATGTTTCTCTTGAGAGCCGCAAGCACCAGGATGGCTATACACATATGCCTAGAACTACGACACAGCCTCTGTTTCCAAGCATGTGTTTAAAACAAAAATTATTCAACAAAGAGAAACAGCTAACATTTATTGTGCACTGACGGTGCCAGGTCCTTTTCTAAGTACTTTATTTAAATAATCTCAGTTAATTCTTACCACAAATAGAAGACATAAGTACTGCTGTTTTACTCATTTTACAGATGGGAACACTGAGGCAAGGCAAAGTTAATAAAAAAAAAAAAAACCAAAAAACTGGGGTTTAGACTCAGACAGTCTTACGCCTGACTTCCTGCTCTTAACCAATGGGCTGCACAAATACAGCACTGACTTCATACCAGGAACTGTGTTAAACACCAGGGATAAATCAGCAAACAATAATATCTAAAGATGTTATTCAGATTTGACCTTAGAATTGCAGGAATATATGTCATTTGTGTATCAGTTTTTCTGGGCTGCCTAGAGGTTACTATAACAACTTGGAATATTATTGACTGTCATGGTCAGCAAATAGAATTAAATAATTTGGCTTCTAATGATAATGGAACTGTTGATGTCCTTCAGCATTGGGCAATCACAACATTTTTGAATGAGGTCTCTATTATACTTTTATCTTGAAACATTCTCTTCCATTAGTTATTAGTGTATACATGTTAAATATTAATCAGGGTTTGTGATAAGAAATATGAATATATTAATTGAAAAATAGTCATATGTTAGTTAGTTTTGCTATATAACAAATACTCCAAAATCCAGTGGCATGTATTTTTGTTCACAAATCTATGAGTGGCTTGGTGGTTCTTCTGGTCTTGGCTAGGCTAACGCATTAGTCTGTGGTCAGCCACAGATCTGGTAGTTGGCTCTGATGATCTAGGCTAGGCTTTTACATATATTTGGAGTGTGCCTGGCTCTAGGCTGGAGTACCTCAGCCAGGACAGCTGGCTTCTCCTTTATATGGTCTCACATCATCCAAAAGGCTGGCCAGGGCTTGTTCACATGGTGGCTGTGCAGGGTTCCAAGAACAAAAGCAGGAACATGCAAGGCCTTTAGAGAAGCCTAGATCAGAACTGGCATAGTGTCACTTCTGCCTCACTGTATGGTCAGTGCAAGTCCCAAACCTGCCTAGATTCAAGGAGTGTGAAAATAGACTCCACTTCTTCATGGGAAGAGCTTTAAAGTAACGTTGTAAAAGAGCATGGATAATATAGGTTGAGGATTCGTGGAAGTCATTTTTGGAAACAATCTATCAAACCATGTAAAATAGATATTATCACTCTCATTTTACAGATGGAAACATTGATGTCAAGTGTTAAGTAATATGACCTAAAAATCACAAAACGAATAAGTAACAAATTATTGGCAGTAACTAGTAACTAGTAAAAGGTTGAGTCACAAAGTTAGACAAACATAAGTATGCCTAACTCCAAAGCCTTTTTTCTTTTTAGAAAAACATACCTTTATAAAGCTTTTACTGCCTTTAAAGATCATATTATTAAATGATGTTTTCAAAAATAAAAGTGGTTTCTGATGAGAAAATATCAGTATGAAATTGAAACATAATAGCCCATTCATTTTCATTTATTTACAGGCATGAATAGTTTTAATCAAGGGACATTTCTTTAATTAAACAAAAATAACCCTTATTCATAGCTAGGTATTATTAATTTTTTTAATCTCTGCCTACAATAGACATTAGTTGGTGTTGGGCATTTCCCTATGATAATATTATGCAAGCTGATAGCAATCAAGTACAACCAGAATTTTCATCTGCAAAACTTGTCACCTCATACTCCTCCAGAATATTTGGGTAAAGTGAGAGTGTGTTATTATTCTTAGTTGTTGTAGTAGTCGAGGTAGTATTAAATGTTGTTCAATTTCATCTGAATTTGGCGATGTCTTATTCTGTGGGTGGTTGCCTTGCAAAAGTAATCAGGCATGGGGAAGCTTTCAGCAGGGGGCCAAGTATATTTGGGAAATTCTGGGTTAATAGTTACTTTGCTGCAACCTCTCAGAAGCTTTAACAGGCTAATGCCTGTTGTGATTCTCAAAAGGAGGTGTTTTTCAGACTTACATGACTTCAGAACAGTCATTTTTGGTAGAACTCTCAGCAACCTAACTTTCCATAGAACCCTTGGGAAATCTAAACGTGATTCTGATCCCTTGGAAGACATATGTAGAATCAATAGTATTTGTCAAGTGCCTGGTAGGGGACAGGCATTATCAGAGCCATATCAGAAACCCATGAAATAGGTATTATTCTTATAGTATAGTTGAGGAAACTGAGACTCAGAAAATTTAGTTGTCTTGCCCAAGATCCCCAAGTTGGTATCAGAACTGCAAATTGAACTTGGTTTATTTATCTTCAGGCCTATGGTGTTTACTGTACACTTTGCTGAGGTTTAGAAAGTTTAAACCACTGTCCAGGATGGCTCCGCTGGGAAGAAGAGATGCCATGTTTCATATGCTTTCGTATCTTCTGTAGCTCCTAACAGAAGATAGGTTATCAACCGATGCCTATTGGCCAAACCCTTTGTTTATTACCTGGTTGTTATTATGATTATGCTCATCATTAAAAAAAAAAAAAAAGACTGCAACAGTAGAAAATGGTGTAAGATAAAACACAAAATGCTCCTACACTCTGTCAGCCTCCAGAACCATCACCTAAAGCTAAGAGCATTATCAATTTTTTATTATTTTTTCATAATTTTTTAAATTAAATTAAATTAAATTTTTTTAAATCTTTTGCCTATGTGTGTGTGTAGACCTTGCTATTCTGTTTTACACAGATAGCATCATACATGCTAAGTTTTCCCTCAGTGATATATACTTGACATCTCTTTGTCAGGACTTGCAGATTGCTTCATTCTTTTTGTTGATGTACTATATTTATTACATCAATTTATGTGTGACGAATATTTAGATTAATTTTAGTTCTTAAAAATATTCTCTTTTAAAAAATTGTTTGGTATAATAAACAGTGTTTCAATAAGAAAACAATTTTATGCATGTATCTTTGCAGTTAAGTTTTTAATGAAAAACACATAAAGACATCATTTTTCATGACTATTCTTAGGAAAAATAGTGGCTACATCTGTTTCCTTCCTATAACGACACTTAAAATTACATTAGGGCTCGCCCAATAATCCAGGATAATCTCTCCATTGTAAGATCCTTAACTTAATCATGCTTACAAAGTCTCTTTTTCCATTAAAAGTAACATTCGCAGGGTCCAGGCTTTAGGACCTAGATATTTTGGGGAACATTTTTTAGCTTACCACAATCTGCTCTTTGGCCCTCAAAGATTGACATTTATCCTCCATGCAAAATATATTCATCACATCCCAACATCCCCCAAAAGTTTCAACCCATTGCAGCATCAATTCAAAGTCCAAAATCACATCTAAATATCATCAGCATAAAAGTGTGAGACCTCATCCTTTAAATCAGATATGGAAAGACTCTGGGTATGAGCTTTCCTGGGGCAAAATTCCTTTCCACCTTCAAAGCAAAGTATTTGATCTAGTGCCTTTCACAAAGTTGGTGCCCATGAGATTTTAGCTTCCATCAAAATTATCCCCTTCATCCTTTTCCCTCATTACCTGGTTTATTTTCTTTATCATTCCATGATTCTGCTGTTGTTGTGTCTTTGAATGTGGACCATTCGGACCCTCTTTGGAATAACATAGGAAAGTGAAAAATAAATGAAAAATACAATTATTGACTCTCTGGACAAAATAGGAAAAAGGACCATAAGAATGGGGGCAATAAGAGGAGGCTAGTGTTCTGGAGGCTGCACATTATCACAGCAGAGAGAAGACAAGGTGTGAGATGATGATGATGATGATGATGATAATGATGATGGTGATGGTGATGGTAGTAGTAGCAGTAACTCTTATTTAGAGTTTATCATATAACAGAACCTTTCTAAGTGCTTTACATATGTTACCTCAATTAATCCTCACCATACCTTTGTGAAGTGGGAACCTTTATTATCCCCATGTTCAGATAAGAAAACCGTGGAGCAGAGAGAATATACAATTAGTAAGTGGCCATGCCATGATCTTCATGTTGCCACCAAGTGTACCCAACATGTCTCATATGGCAATGTACTAGTCCTTTATCTGGTCCTGGAGCTCATGAAGTGCAATTTCAGACAATTGCTTCTTATTTGACCTTGGGTTTCCCTTTTGTGTCACTCTAAGGCCAACTGGGATTCCTAAGGCTTTCCTGTTTCACCAAAAAAGCATTTCTTCTCCTCTTAAAGTTCTTTTTAAAACAAAACAAAACAACAACAACAACAACAACAACAAAAATAGAATCTCTCCTACTCCATATTGTCATTTGAAAAAATATGATACTTTCAGACAAGCTGAAAAAATAGGTACAATGAACACTTATGTATCCATCACCTTCCTTTTACAAATTGTTAATTTTTTTGCCACTTCTGTTTTACCTTTCTATGTATAGGCAGATATAGTTTGTTTTGCAGAATAATTTGAAAGTTGTACTTGTTGTAACACTTTACCCCAAAATACTTTAGCATGTACCTCCTAGGGATAAGGATTATTTCTGTTCTACTCATATCATGATAAAGTTCAAGAGTTATAAATTTGACACAATTAATATCTAACATACACAGTCTACATTCAAATTTCCCCAGTTCTAGTAGTGTCCCTTTCTAGCATTTTCTTTAAATTCAAAACTTGATCTCTTGCATTGTCTTTAGTTATGATATCTCTTTTCCTTTAATCTATCTAGAACAGTTCTAAAGCTTGCTTTTATTATTGTTTTATTTTATTTCTTTGTTTTTGTATTTTGCTTTTTTGTTTTCCATCAATGAGCTTTCAGAGTCTGGATCAGTCACTCTGTGAAATGTCACAGGTTCTGGATTGATCTGGTCCTTTTTTCTTGATTAGATTCAGGTTAAATATATTTTGTCATGAATTGTATAGGTAATATGAGAATCATTTCCTAGTAGATTATAGTTAAGAAAAAGAAATGTGAGGCTCTCAAAACAGAATGATCTGATATTTTAGAAAAATAGCTAAATACTAAAGCCTATGGTAGAGCACCATCTTTGAATGGTCATTGAGAGTTTCTGAAGCTCATTTCACATATATTTTATTTTATCCTTGTAACTATGAGAACAGTGAGGTGGATATAAATGATGATAGTCCTGGCACAACAAAAACATGGATGTATGAGTGATTTGCTAAATTTCTGAAATTCATTCCTTGGGAAGCTGAGGTTTGAATCTAGTTTCTGGACCTTGGTTTTGGATCTCAATCCATTGGTTTTTCCTACCAAGCCAATGAATATTTATTATAGCATATGTTGTAAGAAAGATAATACAGGGTTAAGCAGGAAAGTTCTGTTTTATTATTTTTTTTTTATTAAATGATAACAGTCATTCATCCTACTTGGGAATACAACTGATTTCAATATAAGTTAGGGCGTTCTAAAGGCAGCTTTCAACTTATCTTAGACTCTCATGAATCTTTGGGAGCCTACATTTATGTAGATTATGTGTTTAAAGTTTGCAAAACTCTCATGTTGTAAATGCCATAAGCACTTGCTGGGAAAAAATAGTAGAGAAGCAGAAAGAAACCAAGATGGATAGGTTCCCACTCAGTCTCCTTATAAACATGCAGCATGTTGCATAATAAATACAGATGTTAGCAAAGACATAGTGGTATCTTTATTCTGTGTTTTGTACCCACAGAGAGATGCATGTCAGGTTAAAAAAAAAAGTGTATTTTTTAAATTTGTTTTTCCAGTGGTTTCATGGGTAGGAAGAACTTGTAAATCCACCCTGAATATATATGGGCATTAGATCATGTAGGAAGGAGGCAGTGCATTCAGAAGAGTCAGTCTTTTCCCCCAAACATTGAGAGTTTTCTTAAAGATTTATTTGGGAAATAAGTTTCAAAAAAGGAAAAGAAGTTCCTAAACTGACCGAGATCAAATGGATTTCATGTGATTATAATAAAAGTTTTATGTCAGAGTGGCCTTTAAGAAATTCTAACAGGAGATTTTCCCCAACCTTTGATTTTCCCAAACTTTGTAGGAAAAGGTCAGTGGAGGTTTGGCATTTGAAACTCCCAACACTTGTGTTTACAGACTTTTTATATCAAAAAGTAGCCTGGAAAAGAGATGTACAATCCCATGCATGTTGAATGGGAACTGCTCTGGGGACATCTGAAATCTAGGTTCTGTCCTTTTGCTAACCAGTTGTGTGACTTTGGGGAGTTTCCATCCTATACGTCCTTCTACTATACTAGAATAGGACTAATGATGTCCACAATGTGTATTTCACAGGGATGTTTACATATAATCAAATGAGAGTATATCTGTGAACTTGCTCCACAATCATTTAAAGTAGTTCACATATGTAAGCAAATGCATAATTTTAGAGCTTTTGACTTAGATGCATATTTCAGACTCTCTTCCTTCCTCTCCCTATCCAACTAGTCTTTCTTTTCAGCATTCAACAATTTCCTCAATGAAAAATCCATCTTGATCCTTGTTCCATGTTGTAGTGGAATTAGTTGAGAAGGAAAAAACATATGTAGTTTAGGTGTAAAATTGTGTATGGCACCATGTTTGAGCACACAGGCTCTGGAAGCCAAAGTTAAGGTCGTGCCTCTGTCACTTAGCAGCTGTTACCATGGACCAGTTACATAACCTCTTTAAGCCTCATTTTGCTCATCTTTGTGAAGGTCACAATTGCTACCATTTAGGGTGGTTGTGAGGATTGTGTGAGGTGATATGTTTGTAACAAGAATAAAATGTGACTTTACTTTTTGCCTCCACTGTTTCTTTAATCTCTATTCTCTTGATCATCCTCTCTACTCCCTAAAATGTAAACTTCAGTCAACCCCATAATTTTGTGTAGGATAAATGCATTGTCCTACCATTATTTTAAATCACAAACTCAGTTAATGTAAACCAAAGTTAAATGTAAATATCATCATTTAAAAGTCTAGTTCAAAAAATTAACCATAACTCTGTATTTCAGTTAATATTCAGCTGTTCTCCCCTTTCCTCTATTTCAGGTTCAAAGAGAACAGAAGTATAATAGGCAACTTGATCTCTCCTCTCTGCCCTTCCATCCCTCCCTACCCACAGCTGGGCAGAGCTGGGTGCCAGCAGGTCCAGGAGGTAGAATGGGATGAGAGGATTCATGGAGCCTAGGCCTGGTGCTTTTCTCCTGAGGCTCCTTCATGGCTTTTCCACACATGGCTCCCTGATTCTGGTAGCAGATAGATTCCATGTGATCACTTCCCCCAAATCTAAGCACTGACCCTACAGTTGCTGGAGTCCCTCCTCCCTACCAAGGAATCCTGTGGGATGGTGAGATAGGACCCAACATGCTTTCCCTTTGGGAATCTCTTTCCCCCTAGCAAGTATGTCTGATACATAGGAAATGGTTTCCCATCCTTTATTGACAGATTCTGGGGATGCAGGCTCACCACAACATCAAACCATCACCCAGCTCCTCACCAACTCCATCTCCAAACAACAGGTGAATCTGGATCTTGTTCTAGGAGCCGGATCTTGGTCTAGCTCCAAGGGTCACTTGAGGAGGTGACAGGGTAGGTATCTATTGACCCTGTTTATCCTCAAAGTAGGCAAGGAGATGTTGGACTAACAGAACATGTATCAGCCAAGCTTCATGTGGTAACTTAACCCCACTCTTTGGACTTATATATCCATTTAACCAAAAACTTAGTGAGAATTTCAATTTTACCATCCTGCTCATCACTTAGTCAATACTGGATGTGCAATAATGTCAAGTAAATGATAGCTGTTTCATAACTAAATGAGAAAGTATCCTTATTCTTTTTAATAAAAATTTATTAAATTCTTACCAGGAGAATGTGAGAATATAAAAGTGGGCAAGACATTGGCCCTACACTCTGGAACCTCTTGGTCAAGTAGTAGGAAAGATAAACTGAGGTCTCAAATTTGAAGTAGAAATGGTAAATAATACAGTAGAGGCCAGGATATTAGAAAAAGGAGCGTTTGGAGATTTCAGGAGTGCCCTGCCTTAAACAATTTTGGATCTGCAACCAGATTATGCTCCTGTTAAGTATAAGGATCTGCTCTTCCTCATGTATCTGCCTGCCTTGTCAGTTCATATCCTTGATTAAATGATCACAGCTGTTGTTATTAATGGGCCACCTAAATGACTCATGGGCCAGATCTTCATAATTGGATTTGAAATCAGGAAGCTATTCCAAGTTGTAGAAATCCTCAGCCAGGGTGACTTCTAATAAATCTCCTATTTGTGGGATAAAGTTCCTTTCATCATCAGCTTTGTCACTGAGCTATGTTTATTGAGCTCAGGTTTCTAGGTCTGTGTAGGGAAATGTACTGTGAGGTACAAATGGAAAAGGAAGTTGTTATGAACCACCGGGGGTCATTCAAGCTTTTTGACCAGCAGGATGATACGGTTAGAGCATTACTTTAACCTGACATTAGGGAGAAAAAATGGAAGCAGAGAGAGACAGACAAAAACAGTCCAAGGAAGGAGGGAGGTTTTTGCTTTATCAGAACAAGAAGTTTGAAGTAGGAAAGAGGCAATGGGAATGCAAAGCAAGGGACAGGCAGAAGGGAGAATGAAAATGAAACTTTTCGAGAAATCAAGAAGGAAGAAAGTATAGCTTATCATGGAGGGGTGAGGTCATTAGCTGGAGCTGAAGGGTGAAAATTATGATTTTACTTTTAGGTATGCCCAGTTTGAGGCCCTGATGGTAGGTGATTGTGAATGAAAATATAGAACTAAAATTCATGACAGCACTCAGTGCTAAAGATGTGAATGAAGGAGTTGTATCTACAAACGCGATCCCAAAGAGCAGCAGTGGTGAAAATTACCTATGCAATTTATTCATTGGGATTATTCAGGTCCCAGCTCTCTCTAGTTATTTAGAAATACACAGATTGATGGCTTATGTAACCCATACTTACTTTATAGGAAGTATAAACTTTTTATGGAAAAGACCAAGTACTAAAACTTTAGATTTTGTGGAAATAAACAAAAACCACCCAAATGAGAACAAGCAAATGCTGTTTATTCAGAGCTTTCTATATCAAGGGAGGCAGCCACCATCCTTTCCATTTGGCAGAAACTCAAAGGTAGGCAGGGAACTGTAAAAAGCTTTATAGTGGGAAAAAAGAAAGGCTTTAGGTATGCCCTGATTAGAGGCTTTGGCATGAGGAAACAGACGGCAGGCTAACTAGGAAAACATCCTCTGTGATTGGTTATGGGTGCGTAGTTAGTGTTCTCTGGTTAGTCCTAAGATGGAAGCAGGGTCAAAAATTAGGGAAGCTTCAGTTATTAATCAGGTCCTGGATGATTTGGCCAATTGCTACAGAGTTTGTGATTTGTTTCCATGGCTGATTGCTGCAGATTGTGAGTCAGGGTTCTATCTTTATATATGACTAGCCCATTGTCCATTTGTGTATTCAGTCTCTCATCATGAAACATGTTCTGCTTTTAAAAATTCATTGTCTTCTCATTTGCCTTTTCCCTATTGGCCAGCATTGTCCAGCTCTATCATGCACTGAACACTTACTTTCTGAGGCATTAAATCTGGGTTAGTTTACTTTGGCTAATCTGTAGTCCTGTTGTGTTATTATATTTTTTAATTTATTGTAAAATAAAATGCACCTTTATACCAGAAGAAGTTAAAACCATAAATAAGGAAATAAAATAAAAACCAGTTCCTCTTTTCACCCCGACAACCCCTCAATTCTACTACTCTCTCAGAGGTAGCTATTATCAATAGTTTCTAATATATCCTTTTGGAAATGATCTATACATGTGTAAGCATATTATAGATATACACACACATATTTGCATATTTATCTCCTTTAAGAACATTTACACAAATGGGATTATATTCTTTTTCAAGCTGCTTTTGGGGGTCGTGTTTGGACATCTTAACATCAGCACAAGCTTATTCTTAAATTTAAGAATTTTGATAGATATTCTTAAAATCCTCATATATTAATGTAAAAATTGCACCAATCTATCCTCTCAAGTGTTTGAGTGTGCTTTTCTCTTCACACATTCATCGAGACTAGATCATCTTCCTAATTTTAACCATGATGATAGGTATTTTAACTTGAATTTATTTTACTGTGAGTGAGATGAAGAATATTTTCATGTGGTTTATTTTGCATACATAGTATACATTATACATTGTCATTAGTTTATATTGTTTTTCTGCTCCCCCTCACCACCCCTTTTGTTTAAGAGATGAGATCTCATTATGTTGCCCAGGCTGGATTTGAACTCCTGGACTCAAGCAATCCTTCTGCCTCAGCATCCCAAGTAGCTGGGACTATAGGTTCATACCACTGTGCCTGCCTCTCCACTTTTCTTTTAGTTTTTTTATTCCTTTATAAGGGCATTGCATATTAAAAACATCAGCCCTTTGTTTTGTTACCTGCTCTTTGACTTTGTAAATGGCCTTACCTTTTTGCCATACAGAAGTTTTAAATTTTAAATAATTAAATGTATGAGAATTTTTTCCCCCACTGGTTTGAATTCTGTGTTGTAAATTAAAAGGCTTTTCTGTTTTGCTACGTTTTGCTTTTTAATCAAATCCTCCTGTTTTGTAGCAGAGTTGCATAGACTATAAAATTGGAAGAAATTGGTGTATCTGGTATTTCTTTCTGATTTGGTACACTCAGTTATTTCAGAGGGTTAATAAAAGCTTTTGGGTTGGAACTCTTTAGTGTTCCTAAGTATCCTTTAATGATGAGAAGAAAGAAGCAAGACAGAGCTATTAATCAGCCGAATAAACTGTCTTCTCAGTGAATGAACACTCTGCTAAATGAACTTTTTTTCTTCTGGAAACTTTATTTGATGGTTGCCACTCAATCCCAGAATTAACTGCTATACCTCAGAAACCTGTGTGGCAAAAAATACGAGCAAGGACTGAGGGGGATATTTTGGGGATAAAATGGTCTTCTTCTGGGGCACAGCCTACATCTAAATAGCACATCCAGAAACAATAAGGCTTCCTGGTTGGCCCAGACACATTTCAAGGGATTGAGTGGATGAGAACAAGGTAGTCTAATGAGTTGAGAATTGCAGAGGGGGAGTTAGGAGGTAGGAAATATGCTGTTTAACTTGGTCTGTCCCTTTAGTGAGTCTTGTTCCTTATCAAAAGGACAGCATTTACTGCTGTGGCTGTTTCTGCCATCATCAGTGTGACCCCAAGACCTTTATGTTCTGCCTGCTCATTCTGAGGTTGGCAAGGAGGCACTCTTTCTGCCCGGCAATGTAGCTTGTTTGCTGCCTTGGGTTTGTGTGGATTTGATTTGAAACAGAGCAGGAGGGAGTTTTAGATTTTCAAGCTCTTCTTTAGCGCTGTACTCTGCTGGATGATAACTAATGTCAGAAGAATGTCCACCTTTTTTCCCTCTGAGACACATCTCCTCATCTTCCCTTTTCAACAGCCACTAGTGACCTATCCAGTGACTTAAGGCATTGTCAAACTGATAGCCTCTTTGGAAACTGGTAATTCAGTATCATGAAGTAGAGAGCTGCTCTTCCATTCCCTCTGGTGAAGATGACCTTGCCTCGATATTTTTGACCTTGCTGTCTGCCTCCTGGACATCTGCCTTAGTCTATTTGTGCTACTAAAGCAACAGAAATTTATTTCTCACAGTTCTGGAGTCCGGGAAGTTCAAGATCAAGGTGCCAGAAAATTTGCTGTCCGGTGAGGGCCTGTTGCCTGGTTTCTAGATGGCCATCTTCGCACTGTGTCCTCCCATGGCTGAAGGGGTGAGGGGGTTTTCTGGGGCCTCATTTGTATAGACGTTAATTCCACCCTGAGGGGGCTCTGCTCTCATGACCTAATCCCCTCTGAAAGGCCCCACCTCCGCATATCTTCACATTAGGGATTAGATTTTAACATATGAATTTGTGGGAGACAGGAATATTCAGACCATAGCAACATCCAAAGGCCCAGCAATTTTACATCCTACACCTCTTGTGACTGTATCCTGGCTGAGGGTGAAGACTCTAGAGGCTGAGTCATAGTAGCCAGCAATCTAGCCAATCCCAGAAGGTTTTATTCTCCTTCCATCAAACATGATAGAAAGAAAACGAAACACTTAGTCTGAATCTAACCCCTTTCAATGCAAGGCATGCTCTGCATTGATGCTCCTAACAAACATTCCTTCCAGTGCACGGATGGGTCATTTGGGGTATGATGGATTCCTTCTCAAGAGGGATTGCAATCTGATGTAGAGAACTCAAGCTGTGTCTTAAACACTTCTAATCTGTAACCATGACCATTGGAGTGATCGTTATGGAAAAACCAGGCCGAAGTCTAGAGAAGCCTGCTGAGAAAGACTTCCATTCTTCCTTCTATCTCATAGGAACCTGCACTTATGTGACTTTTCCAAAGAAAGTCTACCATGTTAACATGTAAAAGCAGTAGACATTTGATGAACCAATGTTTATGTCAACAATAGTAATAAAAATAACAGAGAAGAAAAGTCACAGCTAGAGTCTTTAATTATTTCATTGCTTCATTCATACAATGGGTAGTTTAGCCCTTACTGTATTCAAAACACTATGCTGGGTTTTGAGAATGTATTCAGGAATAATAATAGTAACTATAGCTGACAAGCATTGAGATTTTACTACCTATTTGGCACTGCGCTAAGTGCTTTACATGGATTATCTCATATAGTTCTCAAATCAACCTTGTAATTAGGTGCTTTTACAATCTTTATATGAAGATAAGGAAAATGAGGTTTAGGGAGATTGCATAACCTCCCCAAAGGCACACTGCTAATAAGGATTAAAGCTGGGATGCAGACTCAGTGTATTTTCTACTTTATAATTATTTTTCGTTGTTTCTGCATGAGGCAGAAAAAAGTCTCTGCCCTCATGAAACTTACAGTCTGATTTAGAGAACATTCTTCTACAGCTAAACTCTTTTAATCAATCTCAGGAGAAAAGTGACGTGTACTCCAAAAACAGGCTTCTCACCTTTCAGCAGGTGTAATGCTGGTCACTCATACTCAGTGAATGAGAGTCACTTGATTGATGTGGCCCCCCTATAGTTTCTGCAATCACAGTCGTTTCTCCCATCTCCTGTATCTTTTCCATGCCCTCCCCCTAGCATCCTTTGCCTTGTCCTTCTGCTCCTCTCTTTCTTCTCTGGGTGTCTTCCCTTCCATACCTGTTTTATTTTTTTCTCTCTCCCATCTAGGTAATTCCCAGAGTCACTGAATGCCATGCAATATAGTTTTGAAGGAAAACATGAAAGGGAGGACACTTTCACTGCAAATGAAAAGAGCTGTTGATGGATGGCTTAGTAAGCCTAGGGGTCCCACTTTAGCATTCTCTGGCATTTAAGGGACTCAGGATTCTAAAAGCACATCCACTCCATTCTGCTGTTGCTAATCTCATTTATTCCATGATTAACAACCCAGTTCATTATGTTTTCAGCTCACATTAATCTTCTCTTTCTGTAAGTTTGGTAACATTTGGAGTCATTTCCCTCTGTATTTATCCATCTGGGATGTTCATAAAAGATAAGTTTGCAGAAAGTCATTTGTTGCTCATGCAGAAAGTTGTTTGTTCTCACTGCTGTAAAAGGAGTGTGAATGCTTTCCTTGTTTCTCGGATCCTGGGAGGAAATCTTCTCAGTCAGGCATAGATTTCCTCCGCAATGCAGAGGGCCCCTTCAATTGAGCTCCATGGGGTCCTCAACTTACACAGCACAAGGGATTGGGCTGCAACAGCATCAGAAATCACAAGCTATGCTTGCTGGATCCTGACTATCTTCATAGAGCAGATGGGATCAGAAGAGAACTGTGAGGACAGTGGAAAGAGTTAGGAAAGTAATGAATCAGAACAAAGATTTTGGCTTGAGTCCTGTCTCTACAGCTACACGCTGTTTAACCTTGGGCAAGTCACATAATCTCTCTGAAATCCACTCATCTCCTCTGTGAATTGGTCCCAAAGATGTACCTGTCTTCTCTACAGTGGAGTGTAGTTTCAAGGGTTAACTTATATTCTTATCTCTGCTCTCTTCTGTTGAGTAAGCTTCATAACCTTGCTTATATCACTTAACTTTACAATTTCTATGGCCCCTGCCAACACGAACACACACACATAGACACACACACACACACACACACACACACACAGATGGGGAGAGAGAGAAGAAGAAATAGTCTATTGGGAAATTCTTAGAGGCCAGTCTTTCTTAATTATTTTCATATATAAAAAAAGTCTTATAAATGTGTGTCATATTTGAAGATATATTGGGGAGGGGATTTTGTTGTTTAGAAAACAGAGAGAGAATCCTTTGGAAATTCAGTTAAAAGCCTTCTCCTCGGGATAATGTCACAAGGGAGGTCACGAGGGAGGCAACTCTTCTGGAGGCTCTGGGTTGTCAGCCTCCAGCAATATTTTGCTGTGAAGGCTGGAATGCATTTATTCCTTTCTTAATTCAAGTATGATATTTCTTTAGAGACAATATCCCAAATTGGACATCCATTCAAAAGCCATGACAGATATTCCTGCCTATGGTCATTAACGATGAAATATTGGTATTATTTCTCATCACTGCCCGAGTGCAGGGCTAAATTGTATTAATGCATCTGTTATTGTAGAAAGAATGAAAGATGTAATTAAATTTTATTAATGTAGAATTTAGAAGAGGTCCAGGATGTGGCGTGAAGCAGTAGAGATGAGGGAGAAGGGGAGTGTTTGCTCTAATTCTGTACAACTGAAAACAAGGCAACAGAATTCGGAAATGTTTTCATTTATTGACGGTTCTCTCCGCCAGCACCTGGGATTTGAGCAGGAGACTCCCATTTCACAGATAACTCCCAGTGGTTTTGATGGAAATTACCTGCATAACGAACCCTCCTGCCCACTTAGAATGCCAGGCATCTGAGAGCACCTTTAATTGCAATGCACCTCCCTCTGCAAAAGAGCTAATTGCATCTGTTTCCCTTTCCTTAGGTGCCCAAGCAAGGACAGGAATAATGAAGAGACACATGTGTTAGCTGCAGCCTTTTGAACCACACAAGAAGGAAATCAACGGTGCGGACAGGGCTGGAACCGTTGCCACACGCGTTGGAGTAAATGAGGAATGGGCTCGTGATTATGCTGACATTCCAGCATGAATCTGGTAGACCTGTGGCTGACCCGTTCCCTCTCCATGTGTCTCCTCCTACAAAGTTTTGTTCTTATGATACTGTGCTTTCACTCTGCCAGTATGTGTCCCAAGGGCTGTCTTTGTTCTTCCTCTGGGGGTTTAAATGTCACCTGTAGCAATGCAAATCTCAAGGAAATACCTAGAGATCTTCCTCCTGAAACAGTCTTATTATATCTGGACTCCAATCAGATCACATCTATCCCCAATGAGATTTTTAAGGACCTCCATCAACTGAAAGTTCTCAACCTGTCCAAAAATGGCATAGAGTTTATCGATGAGCATGCTTTTAAAGGAGTAGCTGAAACCTTGCAGACTTTGGACTTGTCCGACAATCGGATTCAAAGTGTGCACAAAAATGCCTTCAATAACCTGAAGGCCAGGGCCAGAATTGCCAACAACCCCTGGCACTGCGACTGTACTCTACAGCAAGTTCTGAGGAGCATGGCGTCCAATCATGAGACAGCCCACAATGTGATCTGTAAGACCTCCGTGTTGGATGAACACGCCGGGAGACCATTCCTCAATGCTGCCAACGATGCTGACCTTTGTAACCTCCCTAAAAAAACTACCGATTACGCCATGCTGGTCACCATGTTCGGCTGGTTCACCATGGTGATCTCATATGTGGTATATTATGTGAGGCAAAATCAGGAGGATGCCCGGAGACACCTCGAATACTTGAAATCCCTGCCAAGCAGGCAAAAGAAAGCAGATGAACCCGATGACATTAGCACTGTGGTATAGTGTCCAAACTGGCAATGAGAAAGAAAGTAGTTTGTGATTGCAGTAGAATAAGTGGTTTACTTCTCCCATCCATTGTAAACATTTAAAACTTTGTATTTCAGTTTCTTTTGAATTATGGCACTATTGAACTTTTAACAAACACTACGACTTAACAAATAATTTTAGTTTAGGTGACCCACCCCCTTAATTGTACCCCTGGTGGTATATTCCTGAGTAAGCTACTATCTGAACATTAGTTAGATCCATCTCACTATTTAATAATGAAATTTATTTTTTTAATTTAAAACCAAATAAAAGTTTAACTTTGAACCATGGAAAACAGAGTGACTTATTGGACAAGAAAACAGTACAGTCATTTCCCTTGTTCGAAAGATAAACACAATGTTTGTGAACCTGAAGAACAATCATAATGAAAAATGTGTTATTAAGCCCTACTGTACACTGGGGAACCATAGCTGAATTATTGACCACGTTAAGTATCTCTCAGACTTTAAAATACTGAGCCTTACTGGGTGATTGTACACAAGTGTGGCATTTTGCAGAGGCTTAAATGCCTTTTGGCATTGACTCTTCAAAAATAGGTGCTATTAGCTACAGAGAGCAAATACTTATTGTGCTTCTATACTATGCTAGACAGAATGGAAAAGAAAAAGACAGCATATATTTTGTCCTCAAGATTACCTTCTGCTGGACAGGGCATGTGACAAATACAGAAATAGCTATGCTAGGAAGGACGGAACTAAAATCACATAGCATCAACTGTGTACAAGCACTGTGTGAGGCATTTTATACTATTATTGAGTTTCTTAACCCTTACTTATCACAAGAGGAGAAAGTGACAACTGCTCTGTCTACATAGGGGGAAACTGGAAATGAAAGAGATTCAGTGACTTGCCAGGTAGAAAGTATTAGAACTTAAATTTTAACCAGGTCTTTCTGTCTCCAAAATCAGGTCTTCTCATTACTTTCCTACTGTGTTGGTTTATAGAGGTATAATTTACATGTTAAAATATGCACCCACGGTAAGTGTACAATACTGAGTTTTGAAAAACATATAAACCTGTGCAACTGCTACATAATCAAGATATTGCGTTCCTGCCACTTGTCAGAGGTAGGAGAAAGCACATTTGGTTGTGGTGGTGGGGGTTGGCTTTAAGGTACTATTGCAGATAGTCCTTGAAACTTGAGTGGGATCTCATGAGGTGATTATGTAGGTAAGGAAGAAGTAAGCAGCAGAAATAGCAAAGAATAAAAGAATAGGGAGGTATTTGGGATGAAAGAAGGAGTTTTGTAGGGGAGACGTGAGAGACAAGGCTGGAAGCGTATGGTGGGGATCTCAGTTCCAGACTAAGGAATAATAAGAACTGATAGCATTTATGGAACACTTGCTATGTACCAAGTACTTTCTTTGCATTGTCTTAATTAGTCCTTACAACTAACCTGTGAGATAGACTTTCGTGAATGAGGAATCAGAGACACAGGCGTTAAGTAGTTAGCTCAGGATCCTAGAGTTTATAAGAAGTATACCAAATATTTGAAACCCAGTCTAGAACCTATGGACCTCTTACCCACTGCACTGTGCTGCCTTAAATTCATAGACTTTACGACCTAATGTTGCCGATTCCTCAAACCTATAGGTTTGCAGCCTCCTAAGTGATGTTTTCATCTAAAAATAAGCCTTTGTGAGACTGATATAGGGAAGAGGGATCCTCTGCCATTCTGAAGCACGTGGCCTTCTCCAACCCATATTAGGTTATCTTTGGGCCCCCAGGAGTCCCACTTCTGCCTTTGGAAAGCTCTCGAGTCCCTATCTGTAGCAGTAATCTCTCTGAAGGTTTACCAGAGAGGACAGTCAGGGGCAGCCCATCCAAGACCCGTAGCAAGGCACTCAGAGCAATGTGGCCAGACTAGGCTCACAGCACACACCCCAGGACCATGGGCTTTTCACACCCACCTTAGACTTACTAAAAACTGTAAGATTGAGTCTAGAAACCCGAGATAACTCCTAGATGTAAAATTCGGGATATGGGCCCTAGAAACTCCTGCATCCCAGTAAAACAGAAGCCAGACTGTCTGCTTTTGCTAACTGAATTTGAATGTCTTTCCAGTGCAATTGAAGCTTTGCTGAAGAATTAACGCCCCCTGGAGGACAATGTTATAATATAGCTCTGTAAGTACTACCACAGAGAGAAGCCTGACTCTACTGAATACACGTATTTTTTTCCCTAAAAAATAAGAAAACTCAAGCCTTTGCTAAGACAACCTTTTAAAAAGTTAAATTGATTGTGTTTATTTGAGTGTATTAGTCACATTCATTTTGGAAAAGCTTTCACAAGTTAGATAATCTATTCTTGGTTGCCCCTTCCAAAATAATCTTTATATCCGTACCAATAACAGCTTATTTTCCTAATGGCCAATTGCATTAGTCAAGGGAAAGTACTTATAAAGAAAAATAAATCTCTGAAGATTGTCCAGATGCAAGAAAGTTAAATTCCCACGTATTTCGTTTGAAATTCTCCATATACATAGAGCTGAGAAGTGTGTCATAGGTTAATAATTCCCCTGCTTGAATTCTATGTGTAGATTATCAGTTAACAATTCCCTAAGTGCCTTTGTAAAAAAAAAAAGAGAAACTTTAAGTTAGTTTGCCATGAATGATCTATAAGCCACTGGAGGAGAAAATTAATTTTTGTTTGTTGGTTTTAAAGCAAATAACAGGCTATTGGGCCCATTCATGACCAGAATTGGAGGAAGTACTCTTCCTGTCAGCTTGTAGAGATGTTCTATCCCACTAGACCAACAGTATATGTTGCCAGTCAGTGGAAGAACGTACTGAGGCTCACGTCTATACAGAAAAAAGCCCAACGTGCACACTCCAATTTTGTTCCCAGATTGTTCCTTAATTTTCTGGACCCTTGCATATGTTTATATTCATGAAAAGCTACCTATTTTGGGACTGTAAGGTTTGTTAAAATAACTATCATATCATCATTTAAGGTACATGCCACCTTACCTTCTAAATATTTTAAATAACAATGTCTTTTCTCAACCTTCTCCTTTTAACCCCAGCCTTTTAAATCCAAAAATACCTGGGAATGAACATTAGTCTAATTTTTGACAATGTGCTTATCTTCAAAGCAAGGAAAATCATAAAGCATGCCAACCCAACTGGAACATTTTTAACAAACTGATGAAAAGTTATGTAATGGAAGACTTAAGTTTCAAGAACACTTTGGCAAATTGTAACCCACTGATATACAAATTCTGCCAGGTACGCGTTGTTCTTTTTTACGTCCTTCTCTGATTCTTCATAGTAATTCTTGTCTGCCTTCCACAGGCACAAGGCAGTCTGGGATGTGGGTAGGTTTTCCTTATTGGCTCAAGACTTTCAATTCATATATTAAGTTCTGTCATCTATCTGGAAGAGGTGGGAAATATAAAATTCTGCTTTAAAAAAAATGTCCAGGTTACTAGAGATAGGTGAGTTCCTTGTCAAGGCTGGAAGAGTCCTAGGGATGATCTCACCTATTTATTTTACAGATGTTGTAATTGAAACCTTTGGCTTGGGGATTAGCATCCATATTCACCATCCAATGTCCCTTACAGGACATCACTTGCCTTTCCTGATAAATAGTTTTCCAATCATCAAAGAAACAGAATAACATGTAAGGCTCCTACATTACCACAGAGTCATAATAAAGAGTATCTATGATTCTAAAAACTTGCTTGTTCCTTCAGGATATGATGAAGGGATCTGTGTACCTTTCTAAACAGCCCCCAGCTAGCCTGCTGAATGCTGTGCATGACCTGGCTTCTAAGGGGGGAGATGGAGAGAATGACCCTGGTGCAACTTCCTGGAAAGGAAGACTCGATTAGCCTTGGTTTCCTTGAGTAACGACATAAACCCTGAGTACGGCACTACTGGCAGGAGGAGAGTGACTACTTTTAAATGATGCCCTTCTCTATTTCCAGAGCTCTCGTCAACTTGGCTTCCCCAAAATGGTATCACTGATTCATCAAGTTGGCTGGGTCTGACCCGGACAAAGCGAATGAGAGACAAACTCAATTACCATACATTTGTAAACACCGAACTCTTTCCCAAAGCCAAATAGGTGAATAAGAATCTGAGAAAAAGGGAGACCTACATTCCTCATCCCATATTTGTCCATACCTGTTATATGGATGGTCCAAAATGTACCAAATGACTTAGTGGTTCACACAGACCCAGCCAGGGCTTAAGACCTTTTCTTTCCAACTCAGGGAAATTATGCTGTTGGGGCAACGGGATAGACATAGAGTTCCACGGTTTCATCAGTGGGTGACAGTAAAAAGGAAAGTCACCAATTTTTATGACTGTAACCTATTCAACATTAAAAGAGCCAGGAGCTAGTGTGAGCCACTTAAGAAGCATGCCCGTGTGTGTGTGTGTGTGTGTGTGTGTGTGTGTGTGTGTGTGTGTTTGTGTGTGTGTGTGTATGTGTGTCCACATGCATTTTGGGGTAATGGAGGGAATTATGTTCTGAAAACATCAGGAAAAGAGGTCGTAGGGACACTAAGAACAAAGTGTACCTGCCAGTAATTTGGCTAGGGATAGCCTAGGCTTTGGGTTTCTTGGGAAATTATTAATATTAGATATATTTTCAAGGCTGTCCCCAAGTTCAGGGAAAACATTTACACTTGTCACTAATAGCAACTGAGTTGATCAACTTCATGAGCTATGTTCCTTCTTTGGCTGATGAATGCTCTGAATTTCGCTCACTACTTTTCACAAAAGAATCAATGCATTTACTTTCTTTCCCTGTGGATATCCAGGCATTCAGATGATATTAATAGAAGGTCTCTGGATCTGACTTTAAAAGCTAGGCCTCAAATGAATACTTTGTGGGTCTCTCTGGGGTTAGGACCAAAACCCCATGTTTTTTTTTCTTGTAGGTTTCTTTTATTAATACTTTTTTCTTTCAGAGAACAGTATATAAAAAGGAAGGCAATATGAAACCTGATTGTTGGCCTAAGGATTAACAAGCAATCTGTTGAGCTAATGGCATTGACTGTTAAATAGATTTTTAAATAAAATGGCCCATAGGGAACAGGATGGGGTTAATTCATACAAATCCCTCTTCCTTGAGATTGTCTACATTTCTTCTGAAGGAAAATACCAGAAAGATGGTGGTCTTCTCTCAAAGCCTTTTATCCCTACAGTCAACCTTGCCAATTCCCGAGCTCCTGTAGGAGCCAGCTGCAGTGACAAAAGGAGAATGCAAAATGAGAAAGGAAAGAAATTTTTGGGAAAGTACACCTGAAGCAAGGCTTTGGGGTCGGAGGGGGTCAACAGAAGTGACATTTTCAGTATTTTACCATTGACAAGACTTTTTTTGTTCACATTAAAACACGAACTGAGGAATCCCTGTGCATAAGTCACAATAAAGAATCTCTTATCAAATAATTCCATCTTTCCCTAACAACAGTTATCGTTTACGTGGCATAGTGCAAAGTTCTATTCCTACCTTTCCTAATACCCACACATTTATTATCAAGTACATATTATCATTTTTCCCCCATTTTACAGTTGAGGAAACTAAGGCTCAGCAACTAAGCCCAAGATCAAGCAGCTGGTCTGCAGTAGTGGAGCCCAGCTGTCTACAGTGTCCTTTGCTCCCCCTACATCACGTTGCCTAGTTCAGGCAACATCCTTTAGTTTTATGAAGCTTCATCTTAAGAGCCAGGATGATAAGGGGAAGAGGAAAGGGAAAGACATTTTTCTTAGTTTGCACAAGAGAGAAGTGAGGTTCAGAAGAACAAAGCAAGCCTTAGCTTGCTCAGCTAGTTAGCGGAGCCTGGTGTTTGGGGACCACAATGGTTCGTCCCTTTTTTATACCCATCCCCCTAAGCCCAGCTCTGAAATGCCATACATTCCTAAAGTAAACCAGGCTCTTGGGTGTGGCAGATGTATATATATATATACCTCTCAATCATGGGAGTGATGGTGCTTAGTTCAAGGGTGCTCCTGGGATGGTGGTGAGGGTGACAATGCATTGCAGCCACATCTGCCCTTGCTCTTTCCATTTACATGTACGTAAGTAAAATTTCAGCTGGCACCACAGCACACTTTGCCACTACACAGCAGGGTGGGAATGCTGGGGCGTTGCTGCCTTCTGGGGGCAGCTTCAACTGATGACTACCGAGAGCTTGGGTATAAACACCCAGATCTCTCGCTTTTAGCAGCATATGTCCTATCCTGCATGGAAGAGTTTCCCCAGCAAGATGGAGCTCCACTCACCCATCCTGGTAATGGGCTTGGTAAGGCATCATTTTTTGCTGTCATACCTCTCTTCTCTCATTTTTCCACTCCCTTATTGCTGTTTCCCAAATAAACATTTGGGAAATAACTCCCAAATAAACCATTTGCATTCAAATCCTGTCTCAGTGCTCACTCATTGGGGGAACCCAAGCTTAAGACATTTGAATACACACCAATTCTTTCCAAACCTGGCTAATGGTCAGATAGATTAAGACGGCTTTTGAAAACTATGACTCTCCATGCATTGGGAAACTCTGGAGGTTGGGCTCAGATCTGTCTTTTCTGTTGATCTTCTTCTCTTCTGAAGATCTAGTGCAGGTGTCCTCAAACTACAGCCCGTGGGCCACATGCCACCTGCCTACGACATTTATCCGGCCCACTGGGTGTGTTTGCCGCCGCTGACTGTCCTGCTTAGCAGCCAACTCATCCCAGGCCCACAGTACACACTCTCCAACAGTCTGAGGGACAGTGAACTGGCCACCTATTTAAAAAGTTTGAGGACCTCTGATAGGGTAATAGGTTAGTAACATTGACCTAGGAAGCATCCTGCACGAGAAATTTTTTCCAGAATATTGAACTTGTCAAAACTTTGGTGCTATAGAAAAAAATGAAACCTGTCCACTCATGGAGAGAAAGTGTTGTGTGTACCCACAATAATGTTCCTTGTTTTGCCTTGCATAATGGGAAATTCAGAGTAAAAATAAATCTTCTCTTCAAATTTAGTAACTATATATGATCTCATAGCCCATCTAGCTGCAGTCTAATTTCCTCTACTTTTGACCATCTATTATACATGTCATCAGTTACTCTGATGGCTTTTAACTTATCATTGGCATGTTTCTATTTTTATCACATGTATTTCTTTAACATCTCTTAAACCCTTCATGTAATGAAATAGGGAAAAATATATGTTTATTTGCTGCCTGTTACATATTCCTCAAATTTACAGATTGCTCCCAGACTCATTTCATATATTGTATTGCTTAAGTTCTGATTTCTTATAATTTGTTTCACCAACCTGGCTTTCCTGTTCCAGAAATGTCCTATATCCAGTCATGTTTTGCTATGAAACCATGACTGAACTACCAACATTCCAGATCAACCAGAAGTTCAAGTTTCCCAACCCCACAGCCCCCCAGTGGCTTTTGCTCATTTGGCCCCTGTCCACCTTAGAAGAAGGAAGATAGAGTAGATGAAAGCATGATTTTCCAAATGAGAAAACTGAGGCCCAGAGATGCTAAATGAACTGCTCAAGGTGTCCTTGGGTAACAAGTGAGAGAACTGGGACTTTTGGGAAGTTTGTTTGACACCAGAGCTCATGCACTGTCCACCTCTCATTTATGAGGAAGAACCCCCTTTGGAAAGGCCTCAGGCAATTTCAAGAAGAAGGATAATGATCTGCTTGAGCAAGTCTTTGGGTTTTATTTTTTTTATTATATTTTTATTTTTGGAGAGGGGGATGGAGTTCGAAAGGCCCATATTCAGAGTTGGCAGCTTATGTCATCATCATTGCTGATATTATAAGAGAACAAGTCATATCTTAATTGCTTCATTGTTGTGTTTTCTCAATTTAATCTATCCAACTGATGGGATATATTATGGACTTAATTATGACCCTCAGTAGTCATATATTGAAGCCCTCACCCCTGGTACCTAAGAATGTGACTGTATTTGAAGATGGGGCCTTTAAAGAGATAAATTAAAATAAGGTTGTTAAGGTGGGCCCTAAGCCAATCTGTTTGGTATCTCCATAAGAACAGGTAAATAGGTCACACAGAGGGACACCACGGATGTCTGTGTGCAAAGGAAACACCATGTAAAGACTCTGTGAGAGGGAAGCCATCTTCCAGCCAATGAGAGAGAATTCAGAAGAAACCATCCTGCCGACACCTTTCTCTTAGACTTCTAGTATCTAGAGCTGTGAGAAAATGAGTTTCTGCTGTTTAAGCTACACAGTCTGTGTGCATTCTTAGCAAACTAATACACCACATTAACCCTTGATCTACAAGGAGTATTTTGGAAGGTTTTCTTGGAAGGTAATAGGTGAAAATTTTAGGAAATACAGTCAATCAAATAAGTCCATCATATTTTGGGTGCTATATCTGGATCTTTCTGTGTTGCCTTTAGTTCTTAGAGGCAACCTTGCTTTTGAAATAGATCTACCTCAGTCTTCTGCAAATGCCTCCTGATGAGAAGTATAGTAACTCTGAGACATAAGGGCATTCATGTAGCTATACGAGCAAATGAGACCAAATGAATAATCAGATTGTACTGCCTTCATTTCCAGATAACTATTTTCAAGGGGAAAATGGCCATAGGTGATAAAGCATCTTCATTGGGAGAATGATATTGATATGTAATAATTATCTGTATGCTCCATATTTAATTACATCCAAATTCTTACTCCATCCCTATCTCAGCTTCATTAGGAATTTTCCTCGAGCTAAAAATCCTGACTACTTCATTTAATATAGTTTCCCTTTTCCCTTAAAAACAGAGGGTTTAAAACAGGAAGTCTTTCTGAATTCCCTTCCAGTATCTTTCACAGTAGATCGGCTCGGATTATAACACCAATGATCACTTCTCTGATTAGAGGCTCTAAAAACTCTGACCAGGATTTTAAATGATGGCTCTTGTCTCTCCTCTCTCAAAGAGCAACAAAAACACTGTAATTAGAATCGGTTTACCATTTGGTCAATGATGCACACAGCTGGCTGGATGCTGAGCTGGTGGGGGCTAGGGTTCTGCCAGTAAGAGACTCAAAGGACTTCTGCAGGCAAGAAACTTGGAAGCCAGAGACAGTGGGAAGCCTATTAGAAGACTGTTCATTGTGCCACAGAATCAGCTACAGTGAGAGACACAGGTGCAGAGAGGTCCAATTAACCCAGTGTTTTAATTTGCCTTGTGGTGTGCTAAAAAAAAAAAAAAAAAAAAAAAAGCACAGGACTTGTTTTATTTTGCTTGCAAAGTGAAAATAACTTCAATGTTTAAAAACATGAGGATATAGAATCATACAGAAAATGACAGCAATATTAGAAGACACAAAGAGGAAAGTATAAATGATTCCAAAGCCCACCACTCAGAATTAACTGCTCTTTCATATTCTGAACTTTCTTCTAGACCTCTCTTTCTCTGTACAGATGTTTATAAAACTTCATGTCAAAGGGACACATGCACATCATTCAGATATATTTAGTGGCTCCATACTTCCCTCTCAATAATGTTCAGGTCAGAACCCTTAGTGCCAACAAAGCCCTTCCTGACAAACTCTACCCATTTTTCAGAAAAATCTCTTATCTCTAACCCCATAACCCATTAGGTTCTTGCCTCTCCTACTTTGAATTTCTGGAAATAACAACCCCCCACCTTCCCCCTCGCCAGCCCACTGCAATTCTTTGAAGAGTCCCAAGCTGGGTGGGAGCACAATGAACTTTGTATTTCTGAAAGCTAACTCTCAGCAGTATTCAGAATGAGCTGTCAGGGACAGGGAAAGATTGGAGGTAAGAAGCCCAAGTATTTATGGCACTAAATCCAGGTGGAAAAATAAAAGCTAGTGGTCTAGACCAGAGTTGCATCAGTGGAGACAGAAAGTAGGTGAATTTGAGAGATTCTTGGGAGGTGAAATCAGACGTATTAGATGCTTATCTATCTATCATCATTTTGGTAGTTATAGTTGGTGTGCTCTGGCCCTCAAGTTAGTGATTATGAGGTTGGTGATGAAAATACATGGAATCAATGAAGCTTCATAAAACCAGCTTAATTATTCTAGTCAGTCAACATGGTTTCATTGTCAATTCAGCCTTATCTGCCAAAAATAGATTTGATTTAAACTGTATCACAGATTAAATGATTTCAAATCTTTTCTTCTAGTTGTCAGAAAAAAGATGGAGTTAATTTTATTAAAGACTTCTTTTAATGAAAGATTTAAATCAAAAATTGCAATGGCCTGCCACTTGTAGGAAAATGACTGAGCTCATGTTAATGTAGTTTAATAAATTTCTTGTCTAATTTTTGACTTGAGAGTTGTAATCAGCCAGAATCTCTGCCCTTTTAGTTTCTCCTATATCTCCACACATGTGTGGACCTGTTTTCTGGAAAGCCTGCCTAACTTCTGAAATTTTTGTTCAGGAGATTAAGCTGTGGGATGTTTACCTTGAGTTTACCAAAAAAGATGTTCTTTAAGGTGGGTGGAAACTGAATATTCTTTCCCAAGCCATTCAGGTGCCATCTCATGGAGTCTAAAAGACCAATAAAAAATGTTATGAAGGATTAATGTCTGGTTGCCAAAATAAGATGAAGTGCATGTTTTATTTTTACTTCAAAATATTAATTGGGTACAAATGTTTTTGTTACATGGATAGCTTTTATAATGCTTAAATCAGGGCTATTAGTGTACCCATCACCTAAATAGTGTTGATTATATCTGTTAGGGAAGTTTTGACTCCTACCCTTCTCCCTGCTTCCCCCTTATTGATTTCCAATGACTTTTACTTTTCTCTGTGCCCATAAATTAGTTCTAAATTATTAGAGAGTACATGTGGTGTTTCTTTTTCCATTCTTGAGGTACTCCTTTTAGGATATTGGTCTCCAGTTCCATCAAAATTGCTACAAAAGATATTAATTCATCTCCTTTTATGGCTGAGTAATAGTCTGTGCTAAATTTCTTTTTATGGCTGGGTAATAGTCCATATCACATTTTGTTAATCCAGTCATGAATTGATAGGCACTTAGTTGATTCTACATCTTTGCAATTGTGAATTATGCTGTAATAAATATTCAAGCACAGGTGTCCATACTGCCCAAAGTGATTTACAAATTCAATACTATCCCCATCAAAATACTATCATTATATTTCGCAGATCTAGAAAAAAATTAATTCTATGCTTTGTTTGGAAACAAAAAAGAGCCCAAAGAGCTAAAGCAATCTTAAGCAAAAAGAACAAACCCAGAAGCATCACGTTATCAGAATTCAAACTATACTACGAGGCTATAGTAACAAAAACAGCATTGTATTGGTACAAAAATAGACATAGACCAATGAAACAAAATAAAGAACTCAGATATAAAACCATCAACTTATAACTAGTTGATTTTTGACAAAGTAGATGACAAATACACTGGGGGAAAGGAAGCCCTATTCAATAAATGCTGCTGGGTAAATTGGATAGCCACGTGCAGAAGAATGACCCCTCTCTCTCACCATTTACAAAAATTAGTTCAGGATGGCTAAAAGACTTACATGTAAGGCATGAAACCATAAAAATTCTAGAATAAAATGTAAGAAAAACTTTTCTAGACATCAGCCTAAGCAAAGAATTTATGACTAAGACCCCTAAGGCAATTGCAGTGACAACAAAAATAAATAAATGAGACTTTATTAAATTAAAAAACTTCTGCACAGAAAATGAAATGATCAATACAGCAAATAGACAACCTACAGAATGGGAGAAAATATTCACAAACTATACATCTGATAAATGGCTAATATTCAGAATCTGCAAAGAACTCGAACACATCAGCAAGAAAAAAATAAACAACCCCATCAAAAATTGAGCAAAAGACAGGAATAGAAGGTTTTCAAAAGAAGATAGACAAATGCCCAACAAATATATGAGAAAATGCTCAACATCACTAATCATCAGGGAAATGCAAATTAAAACCACAATGAGATATCAGCTTACCCATCAGAATGGTGATTATTAAAAATTCAATAAATAATAGATGCTGGCGTGGATGCCAAGAGAAAGGAATGCTTATGTACTGTTGGTGGGACCACAAATTCGTACAATCTCTGGAAAACATTATAAGATTCCTCTAAGAACTAAAAGGAGACCTACCATTTGATCTAGTAACCCCACTACTGGGTATCTACCCAAAGGAAAATAAGTCATTTTCTCAAGAAGTCAATAAAATGCTCTCTGGGGCTCTTTTGTATCAAATAGATTTAACATACACTGAAAAAATAACAAAAATAATATTTATCAGCTAATAACACTTATTAAACAATTACTATGTGCCAGGTATCATGCTTAGAATTTATTATGCCTTCCTTGATTACTCTTCACAGCAACCTTCTGAAGTAGATAATATTATAGTTCACATTTTACAAATGAGAAAACCAAAGCTTGGAGAGGATGACAAACTCACCTAAAGTCATACCTTCTTCAGATAGTAGAGCAGGGGTTTCAGTTCAAGCACTATGACACTACAGGCTACATTATTAATCCACAGCTGCATAATGCTGTCCGTGCCAGGAGACCACAGGTCTACACGTTTTTAATCATCATGATAATTAACATCTGAGTAAATTCATTTAAGCCTGAGAACATGTATTATGTGCTATTATTATCCTCTATACCCCAAAACTTTTAGTGTCTCACCAGCTTTTCCAAGTTAGTAAGGCAGAATAGGGAACAGGAACCTCAGTCTTCTGACAAATAATATGCCATGCTGCCTCTCATGTGTCAAATGTCACATAATCCCATCCCAAGTCTTTGCTGTCAATCCTGAATTTAGCTACTGCCTGTCATGGGGAAGAGTAGCTGGGCATTTTACAAATTAAGGGCCGCTGGACTTTATCAAAGTCTATCATTTGTATGTTTTAAACAAGCTACCATGATGGCATAAGAACTCTTGTTTTGTTCATCATAAGTAATAGACCAAGCAATTTATTAACCATATGCATGTCTGATTATCACTCATTTTGCAATATACAGCAAGTACTGAGAATTTATCAACCATTTCAGGAGTTGACAGTTACAGTCGAGGTAAAAGGTCTTACTCAAGACAATAAATTAAAATGCTTCACATTCTGAGCACATGTTGAATCCCAAAGTCATGAATGCTCACATTGCTCTTCTCTATGGCAAATTGGGTGCTCTAGCCATAACATATACATACTTTTTCTTTGAGAAAGTATGCAATAAATTTAGTTTCCAATTTTTCCTAAACAAGATAAATATCTCCAAAATGCTTTATGATTCATCTCGAAAAGACACCAAAAGTTAGAAAAATACCACCTTTGAGGGTGAAATAATCTCTGTACAATTTTAATCCTCTTTTTCTGAGGATTTAGCCTTGCCTAAATTAAATGATATTTTAAAGTAGTTTTACATACAGCTGTTTATTGTGATTTTATATATAGTTATCAATATAGATTTAGATATATAGCAAGAGGAATCAGGAGGCAAAATTTAAAGAGGGAGAAAATAAACACCCCTAGAGTAGATTAGATGATGCTCCCAGCACTTCTTACCCAGTGCCATGTGATTTGCAGTGCCTCTCCCTGGGCCAAAGTAACAATGTGCCAATTCAAAGCCTAGGTATTAAATGCTTCCACTCACCCTCCTGTCCTCCTGCTATTCATTATGAGAAGAATATATCTCAGGTAGCCACTGATCTAAGAATGATGAGAAACCCAGGAAACAGACCTCCTGAATCCCTGAAGTGGACTATCTGGTAGCTTGAAGTAGAGTCACCTCTGCTAACCTTCAGAACAATGAGCAAGGAAAATAACCATTTCCTCCTTTAAGCCACTAAGATGTTTGGGTTGTTTGTTATGCAGTATCATGGCAGCAGTAACTGACTGCTACAATCCATAAGGAATAACCATAAAAGTACACCTGAAGGTAAAAGGATGAGCAAAAGCATGCCTTCAAGGTTTCTGTCTCCTACTATCAGTGAATGGCCCCCAACTTCAATGAGGAGAAATTAATTAAGGCTACTACATTCTGAGCCTGGATAGTACAACCACTTTGTTTTAAGATGAAATACATTATGTATGTGATGTGTATAGGAATAACCTATGCTTTTACTTTGTAAAATTATTTGGACAAACCATTCATAAATATCAAGATGTTCTTATATAGTCAGTATGATTCTGACATAAAAGACAAATAATGGTAGGCATGAATATCTATTAATCTAGCTCACTTCTGAAAATAGCCATGGACAAGTTTAATTAGAATAATTCCAAGTCATGTACTAAACCTTAATCTAAAATGTCTCCCTGAGATTGTCCTGAAAACTTTATAAGTCTCAAGGGGCATATAGTGCATGGGAAACGGAAGTTGCCAAGGTTTTGCAAGATGTTTAGCACTTTACTTTAGGACCAAGGTACTCTCTGTACCCAAGGATTCCCATCAGTTGAGCTGCAGTTCATTGAGAAGAGCAGGTAGCAATGGTGTGAAAAATTTCCACTACACTTTCTCCTTTACATCCTGGTGTCAAAATGCATTGTCAATTCAAAGTACGTCCTGGTATGATTCATGAGGAATACCTCACAATCTGTGTCACTGTATATGTTACAACTATAGAGTGATAGAGATCCAGGTTTGAATCTTGGATTTACTGAGAAATTACTTGGGTGACTTAAAGTCTACGAACTTAAGTTTTCTTGACTGTAAAACGAGAGGTAATAATAACTATTCAATGGAGTTATTAAGAAGGTTACATGAGATGATGTATATAATATGCATATAATGTATAGAAAGTAAATAGTATAATAATATGAGACCTAAAGTTAGAGTTCAGCAATATGTGCCACAGTGACATCTGGTGAAACTGGGAGGAACATAAATGACCTAACTGCAGATTCTCCTTCCCCTGTTCCCATGAATAAGGTCCCTTAACTAAACAACTCCCCTTACCATGGCGACCAGGCATGGTCCTTACTTATTCCTGAGTAGCAGGCTTCACTTCCCTGCCAGCTCACAGAATTATTCAAACAAGCCAGTCACATCCTCCTGTGGCAACCAGGAGGCAGCTCACCTTCCTGGCACCACAAAGCCTGCCTCCCACAGTCACTGGTTATTTACTTTGTTCCTGAGCACAGCCCCTGTGTAACCCTGCCTGGTGTGCAACGTTCTCCCCTGAGATGTGAATATATGTAACTAATAAATGGCTGTCAGTCTCACTTGTCCAGTGTAAGGTACTGTTTGTTTGGCCATCCCCTAACTCTAAGGCAAGAATCCCCCTCTTTACAATGTGGTGAAGAGGAGATGATCAAAACAAATTCCTACCATATTATAAATCATAATTGGTAAATTATATTCTAATTTTCAAGAAAAATAAACCCTAATATTACTCTCCAGCTTCCCGGAAACCCCTTTAGAGTTGCTTTTCCCCAAAGCAGAGAGGTCGCCAGCCTCGGTCCTTTGCCATTCAGAAGCTGACATCTGGATACTAGGGCTAGAACAAAGGAATGAGGGCCACAACTGGGGAGAATCCAAGTAGTCTT